ACGTGCCGTTGACAAGGTGAAGCGCATCCGCTCTATTGGCGACAAGGGCTCCATTCCCGTTTTATTATGGGCAAGTATCCCTTGCACTGGCGGAACTGCATGGTCTCATATTAACATGAATCATGACACGGCGAAAGAGAAGGTGAAGCGACATCGATCCATTTACAAAAGAATTTGGTCTGCCTTCGTTGATCTCGTGAATTCCATGGAGTTTGCCAAGCCGTTGATTGCTATTGAATGGCCAAGGAGTTGCACTTATTGGAATGAGAAAGCTGTTGACAAGTTCGTTATTCGAAACAACATGACTTCTGTTAAATTTGACGGTTGTGCTGTTGGTGTCAAAGCTACTGATGGGATTCCTATGAAGAAACCATGGACTATAAAGACCAACATGCATTGCCTCCACAATTACCTTAATGGAAGGGTGTGTTCTTGCACTGTTCAACATGCTGAAGGTAGGGGACGGAATCTTAAGAATACTGAATCCTACACGTACATCATGACCGACTTGATTCACAAGGCCTTTGATTATGCAGTGTCGGTTCAAGAGAAAGTTGCTGGTGCTCTAGTCGCAATCATGGCTGAATCAATGCCTGTCGAGAAGGCCTTGAAGACGGTGCGTCGCGAGGTACTACAAAGATGTGCCGCTGGCTCAGGTCGACTATGGCTCGGACTACATCATGCACGATGGAAAGGTGAAGCCCGAGGTCATTCCTGATGAGCTGCGCGTCGCCAACCGAGAGGCTTGGTCAGACATGTTCCGTGATGCGGCAACACAATCATTCATCGTGAAAGACGTGAACGTCGACCTTGCAAAGATGAGTGAGCGAACCGATGCTCTGGCTCTCGCCAAGAACTCCATGACATCGTTGACAGGTGCCGCAGGTATTCTCAAAGAGGCTCCGGTTGAGGCTTTCGATATCCTCTTCTGCCCGGGGAAGCCCGCGGTCAACTATCTGTTTTTCGGCGATTCCTTCAATGCGTTGGTCAAAGATGGAACGAAGACGGATGTTGGCACCACTATCAAAGAGAACAAGAGGACTCTCTTCGGCCACAAGCATGAGGTGTGGTCTGAGATGACGTGGGGAAAAGGGCTCTCCGAGTCGCTTGACGCCGCCGAGCGAGCCATGATCAAGCTCGCCGAAAGGCCTGAGCCCAGACCCTATGTCATTGTCATTTCGTGGTCCGGGAATGACGTTGTCGGTCGCAATGGTTACATCGACAACCCCGCCGCCCTAGCGGGCTGGGCCACGGATTCCGAGGCAAAGCGGAAAGCGGCGATGGACATCATCGAAAGGAATGCCAAGGCCGTGATGACAGTCCGTGATCGACTTCGTCACATTGCATTCAGGAGTGATGTAATCCAGGTCGTCCTCATCGTGCCGAGAGACTTCGAGACCTACGGGTTGAGCGAGTCATACAAAGTCCAGATGGACGGGCACTCTCGACTCCTTCATCGATCCGCAGGCATCACAGTGCTAGATCCTCAGACTCTCATTTCCAACACGTCTCGAGCTGACCGCGTTCACACGCGCAACAGGAAACACTACATTAATTATTTTGTAGCTGCTGCCAAGCTCGGTTACTCCATCGGTCAGATCACGAGGTTTGAGACGGCAACGAACTGGTTTCGCCTCGAGAGGGAGTATCTGGACATCGATACTTCAATCCCGATCGTTGGCGCATCACCCCAGGAAACTGGCGGTCCGGCATCTGCGAAGAACCCCGAGGACCCATTCGACAACGAGGTCCGGGAAAGGGAACTGGAGGCGGTCAACCAGATCGCCGCGCAAGAGCCGAAGCACGAGGTCTTCCTGGAGGCCGAAAAGGAGGCAAACCCCCCTTACCCCCTTGACACCGTCAAGGAGGAAGCAAAGATCTTGCATATGATGCAACCTGACATTCACGCGGCGACCGTCAGCGGCCTCAACGATGTGATCGATTGGCCTTCCTCTTCGGACGAGGAGGATCAGCTTTGACCTTCCTCCTGGCTATCAGCCAAAGGTCAGCCGGCCGAAAGGCTTGCCGCAGTTGATCCGAATGATGTTGGTGAGGACGGACAAATCAAGCTCATCCTCACCTCCAAGCGGAAAAGTCACAACAAGATGACCCCATCCGCCGGTGCTGCAACACCGAAGATGAAGGCAAAAGCCATGCCGAAGCAGGCTGCCTCGTCCAGTGATCAGGCGTCCGTGGCTGGAAGTAGCAAGACTCAGCCCGGAGAGATCCGTGGCCCGGAGATCATCCCCAAGGCGAAAGCAGTCCCCAAAGCTGCTGGAAAGCCCGGGGAGACCCGTGGCCAGGCAACGGAACCAAAGAGGGAGTGGATCAAATGCTCAGGAATCAAGATTCCCCAGATTCAGAACTATGGCAGAAGAACCTTCTTGAGCAAAAAGATCTCATATTTTTTGGTTCGTGGACATGCACATGAACATGCGACACGATCCATCCCTGAGATCAATCTCAAGGACAATTCCTTCGATCACGCAGCCGTTGCCAAATGGATCCAACGCCGGTATGACTGGAACTGTTCCCAGTACACCCTGCTGCAGGCCGCGAGCACGTCAACCAGGTTCGAGGTCTATGTGGAGTACGCTCCGGCCGGACAACAGTGGAACGGACTCAGTTTAATGCCGCTGCGAATCCGAGCGTTCACCGGGCATAACGACTGGGTTACCGAGGCAAGTGGCTTCGACAATATCCCTGGGGAACCCATTGCCATGGATGTCAATTACACCATTGAGCACGCAAAGGCTTCTGCAAAGATTTCACGGACGCACGCCGAAAGGCGCTGCCCAAAATCGCCTACCACACGTGCAACATGCAGAATTTCTTTGACATCATTTACATGATGGGCATCTTCCCTGGTGGAATGGGCGACAAGCAATCCTCACGTGGTCACGCCTACCTAACGGTAGTGCCTCCTTGGGACAGGCGCGGTCGGAAGGCGGGGGGCGCGCGGGCTGATCGGCCCATCAACATCGCCGTCGATGTCGAGATGCTGATCCAATTGGGCTGTCGGCTTTACGCGCCCGGAGATGGGGAAGCCCTTGTGACCGAGGATTGGATCACGAACAACGTGATCATTTATGCCTATGATGCTGAGTGCGCGAGGTACATCTGGTCCAATCGCATGTACGTCAGCCTGAGGAGGAAGTACCAAGACAGCATCAAAACGTTCCGTGAGGAGACTCAGCGAGGCGTGAGCGGGACCCCGGTGCTTGAGTCGTTCATGGCGAATGTTGACCATGAATGCAAACTCTACTACAAGCAATGGGCCCCGACCGCTTGCCGCGACATGATGAGGCCTCACCGGATCGGAAACGTGACCAAGGTCAGGGACGTCTACGACGAGAACCTCTCCAAGGAGGAACAGGTCGCCCTTGAGTTTGAGACTGCTCGGTATGGTCTTTACAGGAACTGGGCTCGTGCGGTAAAGCAGCAGCCCGGGGAGACCCGTGGCCGAAGCGGACTTTGGCAGGACCTGGACCCCAACAAGAAGGAGTCGACCAACTGGCGCTTTGCGGAGGTCATGCACATCCCCGATGTCGAATGCTCACGCTGCAAAATCATGATCCCTGAGGGCACAACCAATTGCTATCAATGCGACAACCTCATCGAACGCATGCCCGATATCAAAAAGATCGCAAGAGTCGTCCGATTGCAAGAGATGGCCAACAGTTTGGGCGTGCCGCTTCTGATGGACCAGGTTGAGACCCAGATCTTGACGCAGCGAAAAGATGCAAGGGGGGATCGGAGCGCGAGAAGAGGACTTGGGATCATGAAGGACATTGCAAAGAAAGCCGTCCTTCGCAACAAGGAGTACAATACCTTGTATGAGAGGCTGATCAACGACCCATTTTACGCCTACACTGCCGCACGGGGAGACCTGACGCCCTCTGCCCTCGAGTTCATCGAGAAGGTCGCACGACGCATCATTCCGAGTTTCGAACGAACAAAGGAAATGATGCAAGGAAGCGTTGCTGTGCCGAAGTATTCCGCACGGCTAACGCTGGTGCCGCCAAGCGAGGACGTCAAGGAGATCGACCCCAAGGACGTGTACGTTGTGCATGGAGGTAGATTGCTGGAGACCGAGCAATTTGCCGCGTTGTACGGGAGCCTTGACAAGTGGGCTGGAGCTGGGATTTCTCATCAGTTGGGGATCCCGAAACTGTCCTGGTTGAATTGCTTTGTTTCGTTGAAGAGGAGATCCCCGGCATCCAAATCCCTGGACGAGCCACTCATCTCCCTGCAGTTGTCGGAGTGACGCGCAAGCCCATTCCTCAGCTCCGGGAGACCGGTGGCCAATGGCAAGATCGGCAATGGAACCAATCGTATTGGGGAAGCTGGGGCCAATGGTGGTCTGATGATCAGCGCCCGTGGAAGAGCTCCCGCAATTGGGATTGGCGGTGAATGAGCGATCTCTTCAAAATCATTTCAATCTTCGGCTGACATCCAATTACACTTCAAATTCACTATTCTTTATATTTGTCAAATCTATGTTGGCCGAGGATCAATGTACAGGCATGAGCACGCCTCGCGACAGCGATGGCCGGTAGAGGCGGAAGACCTTAACTGGCAGTCGTTCGTATTCAAGTGCTTATGTCCTGCAAAATGGCCTCATGCCTCTCGGGTTTCTTTGGTTGTTTCATCCCTTTCATTTGTCCTCCTGTTTCACATTCGGGCACGGGGGGTGTAGTTTGCAACGTGATGTATTTATCAACCATGTTAAACCCTAATGCATGAGTGTCTCACTAGCGCAGTCTTGTTGCACCGACTGCGCCTGGCTCAAGAAAAAGGCGCGCCGCGGATTGAGTACATAGCTGACTCTTCCTGGTTGTTGTTTAACCTGTTCTATACTTACCTGCCAGGTCTCCGTATTTGGATGTACACATCGCCTTTTCGGGCAGCAATGTGACGCTTCAGGGCTAAAACCCGAAAAATCCCTTTGGAGCCCCCCTGGCACGATGCATGCCGTCGCGTTCGATGCGATTCGCGAGGCGGTAGGGGAGAGCCCCGCAGAGCTGCTGGCAGAGCACCAGCTCCTGGAGTTCGACGAGAAGGCCACCTGCCTCCCCAACCCCAGGCGCGCGCGGATTTCGTGGATTTGAACGAGACTCTTTCGCCACCAGGTTTTGACTCTTCCTGGCCTGTGAGCGAAGACATCACTTGCAGGAGGGTATGACTTCCCCCGGCTTCGAACCTAAGCAAGAGCGAGCGACGATCGATCACAGGCTGAAGAAGGTCATCGGCGCGGCGTGCGCCGGTTGGTGGGACGCCGCTGTGGTGGTGGACCGCAAAGTGGCGCGGGGGCCCGGTGCCAGGCAACCACCTGAGCTTGCAAGGAAGCGGGGGAGGCGGTGACAGAAAACTGGCATTGGTCATAAAAGGGCAGTGGCACATAGCCAAGTGGGGAGATTGGATGTGTTTGTTTCTCTAGGGCATGTAATTCTGCTGTTCAATCAATGCCGCATTTCGTCTGACTTGTTCAGCTCTGATTTTCAGAAAGAGTGATCCAGAGGGTTGGTTGCACCCTTCTAAATACAGTCAGTCTATAATGACAGGACTTGCGCCTATGCGAAGCAAGGCGTGTAGAACCATGGCCGTCTTCCATGACTTCAGCGTTCTGATGTGTTCTCACAATCCTCCAGGCACTCCTGTGTGCATTCCTTGGCCAACGGAAGCATACGGGTAAGATGAGTCATGCATAATGCCTCCCATTTCGGTATGCGACTTCACGCAGTCGCGCTTTGTTCGGGCCGAGACTGTCCTGCCTCGAGGTAACCAGCCAAGGGCCCGGGACAGCGCTGGCCTGCGCGCTCAAGATCGTGGAGCTGCTCTACGGGGCGCCGAAGGTGGGGGGTGAGGAGGAGGGGAGAGGAGGGGAGGGGAGGGGAGGGGGGGGAGGGGGGGAGGGGGGGGAGGGGGGAGGGAGGGGAGGGGAGGGGAGGGAGGGGAGGGTTTTGATTCTTTGGGGGCGACACTGAATCAGTGGTTCAGGGGTCCATGCATTTCAACCGTCACACGTTGTTGAGCGGTTGGACATGTCAGGAATTGTTGGAACCCACCCCCCCTCGCACTTCTGATCGAGGCCAAAGAGCTGTCTTCCCAGCTGCTGTCGACGTGAATTCGGCGTGAGAGCCGAAAGAGGCGCTGGCTCAAAGCCGAGGATTTCGGCCGTGGGACCTGGTGCAAGGACCTGTATGCTTTTTGAGGTTCGGAAGGGAATTCCAAGGAAAGCCACGCCTTCTTCAAAAACGAGAGAGACACGCACCCTTAGTGGTGCTTGAAACTTGGCAAGGGAAGGCTGGCTCACTCTGCGCTTGATTCCCGCTGGGCTGGCGGGATGGCTTGGTTGGGCTGGTTGATCGAATTTATAGGATAGGGCATTTGCAGATGCAGAGGTTTCAGGAACACATGGCATATTTGGGACAGCAGCGGCATGCATTGTAGCCAAACATTGGCAGCTTGCAGGGTTGAACCGTCACAGCTGTGTGGTGTTGCAGTGTAAATGGGAGGGATACAGCCGCAGAGGTACTGTCTTTCTGGGTCTGTGCAAGTTTGCGAGTCGACAACTTCTTCTGGCTTGGTTCGTGCTCCCGCTTTGGCCCAAACAGCCGCGGGCCATGAGGATGTCATGTGGACTGTGCATATCCAAGCTCGTCAAGAGGTCAGAGGAACGAACAGAAAGCACAGCTCAGCCAACTAGGCGCAGTGCACCAACTTCGCGCCAAGCTTTCTTGGGGGGTCTCCGGTGGGCAAGGGCCCCGGCATTTGGGCCCACGTGTCACTAAGCGCTGGCGTCTGAACATCCTGTTGGTTTCCCTCTAAAACGGCAGCGCCTGGTTTGTTTAAGCAAAGTTTTGCCCAACCCCTGATGAGACTCCCTGCAAGTGACAGTTTCGGGATGGGTGCTCAGGCAAAACGGAGGGAAGGATGCGCTGCTCAGGACATGTTATCCCCACTCCAATGCAAAGCTTGTTGTTGGAAGCCCTTCTGAAGCCACGCAAACAAATGGTGGATCATGCCGCAATGCCCATAGCTGGGGAAAGAGTTTTGTCGTCTCTGAACTTGTTCCTGGTTTTGGTGACCTTTTCCGTACTCCGCATTTGTGAAGCACAGATCAGGCACCTTCCTTTGGTGGCTGGAGAAACTCAGGATACAGCGGTGTCGAGGCACCAAGAACACGTTTGTAGCTCATGGCAAAGACCTTCTTGGCCTCTCGATGAAAGTTCATGTGCTTGCCGAGCATTTGGTTAATGTGGTGCAACATGGCTGCTGTTGCGCTGCGTAGTAGATAGCATCCACAAAAGAATCATTCACTCATAGATGGGTTGCTTTGGTTGGCTAACACCGTGATCCCACGGATTTCCGAGACACCCCTTTCCCCATGTTTTTGGGGGGCTTTCCCGGACATGGTTCCTTTGTTGCAGCTTCTGGGTCAGTGAGCCGTCATGCCCCTCCGGCCCAAGGACATTGTGCCATGGTGCGCCTGGACCGGGAAGCACCGAAGTAGATGCTGCCATGAAGCCACCCCCGTTCTCAAAGGAAAGCCACAGATAGCGGGTGTTCAGAATCTCTGACAATCTTTTGGCAGATTGTTTGTCGGTTGCGGATATGTTGGCTTCCTTCCTTGCATGGGCAATGTGAGCCAATTGAGTTGGCTGTCGTATGTGGATGGGGCAAAGGGCTGCTGAAGGTGTCCATTCCTTTCGAGTTTCGAACGGCGATCCCCAAGAACTCAGTGACAATTCAGAGTGGGGATTCAGGTTCCCCTGGCCCGTGTCTTTCGAGGGAGACCTGAAGGAACCAAATCCCTTGGACACGCGTTGACCGCTTCTCCTGACATGGGTCCTGCCTCTTGAGAGTAAACGGAGCACCCCTTCAAAATGGTTCGCTTCCCTTCGAAACCCAAAGAACTCCTTTGCGCGTTACACTCCGCCGGGACCGGGGTTCGCTAGCCGCCATCGCGAGGACCGGCTGTGTCTGAGTCTGGCTCTCCTGGCCACTTGGCTGATTCGTCTCGCTGGCCTTTTCTGGTCTCGGTTCTCACAACGAGGTAGGCCAAAGTGTTTCCCTGTGAGGCCAACAAACACAGGGTTGAGTGCGCTATGGGCATCTGCAACTCTGAGGGTCCCCAACAGAGGAGCGTCAATAAGTGTCACTAGCAAGGACCCTCTTGTCGTGGGAAGTAGGCCAACCGATTGATGCCGCTCAGATACCCGCAGTTCACGTGAACCAGGCTACCCGCAAAAGAGGGAAGCCTGTTCAGGCCTAGCATGCAAACGCGCCAACACAACACACGCCAACACAGGCAGAACCTGGAGTTTTCTTTGATGGTATCAGTTGCTGTTGTTTTTACTGTGCAAGAGCCAAAGGCTTCCGAACTTTGCGGCTGTTGCGCGGGTAAAGATCTGCTTCAGCCTGCCAAGGCGGCGTCGCAGGGCGAGCCGTTGGTCTGGGCCTTGAAGATGGGACAGTAGGGGGGTTCCACCACCGGAGCCTTGTGCAGATGGGTGTGGCATGTTTTGAGGGTTCTTTGGATGGCTTTGCAAGGAAGCCATTTGGGGGTTCCCCGAAGCCTGGAGTGCAAGGCGGCCCCCTAGATCCCATGAAGAAGAGAAAGAGAGGGAGGTGGGCGCTGTGCCTTGAAGGGGCTGCGCGCTTGATGGTGAACAAAATTTGTAGGCATATTCTGGTCATCAGTCATGATATTCATAAAGCTTGGGGAGGTCATGCCAAAACAAGACATGCAAGAACAACACGTGTCTCCATTTGGATCTTGGGTTTGCGGGTGGTTGCGCCTGCCCAACCTTCGCGCCGTTTGAGGTGCACGATGATGAATGCACCAGCCCAGACGCATGCGTGAGGGTCTCAGCCTGGGTTGGATCTCCAAGATATGGGCTCGATTTAGTGCTTGTCTCAAATGGCTGGCTTATTTCGTTCAGATGCTTGGAATTCAATCGGAATATGGCGGTATTTCGCACAAGCAAGCCCAAATTGTACCACCGCTTGACCGCCCCTCGCTGCAACTCTGATAGCTAAAGAAGCTCCTTAAGTATGGCGACCCATCCTGGGCAAATTGCAACGGACTCACCGACTTCGGCAAAACGAGCTCGCCCACGCAGGTTCCATCACCCCCATCGTTGCCGTGGAATCTGACTGTGGGGTCGTTTCCACCATTTCCGTTTTCTGGCGGGTTCCGGGTGTGGCTTATGAAAGTCGGTGTTTTTTTCCTTTTCAGAATATCTTCTTTTGGTTCTGGCATCCTTTTGGTTCCCTTATGGTTTCTGCAGCAACCTGATCCCAAGCGCCCACCAGCGCTGCTCAGGCCTCCTCAAAGCGCTCTTGTTGCGCTGAGATCCTCGAAGGTCGCGAGCCATTCGCTCTGTAGGCTACAAGGGGCCCCCTAGGATTGCGCCAACTGACTGCACAACTTGCATCAACACCTTCTCAGTTGCTGGCCGCTGTACAAAAGCAGGCTCAGGAGTCATGGCTTGTCGAAGCCTTTGAACTGCGGACACACCAGCTTTGGCATTCTTCTTGGCGCTTGTGAAGAGTGGGTCGAAGGTGACGGCCCAGATGTTCGCGTGGAGGCACTGGAGTAGGCCAGCGCCGCACCAGGCTTCTGTCTTCGTCAGAGCATCTCCCAAGTCACAATCGGATGCCGCCCACAAGTTCCAATTTTGTTCCGGGGCTTGAAATGTCTGCAAAGCGGCCCTCATATTGCCGAGTGCCAAGGTCGGAGACTCGTGCAGGGTGATGGCATCCTCGCCTCCCTTGGAGCCTGTGGTGAGGATGCCCTTCACGGAGGCCATGTCCTCGCCGGGCTCCTCGCGCCACAAGGGGCGAACCCGGAAGTTGGCGTCCTCCGACTCGACCATTGTCTGCACTTCAGCATCATTGGGGCTGATGGCCTTCCGCTTGAGCTTCCAGCTCAAAAGCGCATGGGGCACCCGACTGCGACAGTTCATGCCACCGGTGGCTCACCTTGGGGCGGTTATTGCGGCTCTCTATGAAGACCACGCCCCTCTGCTGAAGACCTGGCAGATTGAAGAATTTGAGGCGCCGTTGGCCGTGCCATGAGCTGGATCTCCTTCGCCGGTGCCATGCCGCGGTCCACGGTGAGCTCTGTTAGAAGCAGGTTGAAGCGTGCAGAAATCTGAGGTAGTCATTGGAGTCTGGAGGGCTCGAAGAACTGCGCCTCAAGTCTGCCACCCAACTTCCTGAAGGTGTTGTTGAGGTCTTACCAAAGCCCCCTTCGCGCCGTCGTCCATCCGTCCAGCTTCTTCAGGACATGGATGGTGCTTGGCGGCCCGACGCCCAAGGCATCTCTGAGCGGTGTTCGTTCTTCTCTATTTTTGCGCCGGCCGGTCCTTGGCATTGCAGCGCCCGTCCTTGGTGTAGGTGCCAGGGACTAGTTGCCAAGTGAGAATCCACCGGCTCCTCATGACACACTTGGTGCCATAAGCTTCCCGGATCTTCTCCTCAGAGTGGCACTTGCGAATGCGGATGAAGCTGGAGGCCTCCTTGCACTTGGCGCGGCTGAACAACTTCTGGTTTCCTTTTTGTTTCCTTCTGATTTCCTTTTGGTCTCTTTTGGGTTTCCCTTGATTTCATTTTGGTTTCCTGTTTGTCTCCTGTTGGCTTCCTTCTGGTTCCCTTTGGATTCTTTCGGTTCCTTCTGATTTCATGTATGTTTTAGTTTCGGTCCCTTCTTGTTTTCTTTCGCTTCCTTTTGGTTTTTATTTAACCGCCGTTGGCGTGTTCCGCCGGCTCCCGCGGCTTCAGGCTGTCAAATTTTTCTAGCGCACCTCGCGGGAGTAAAGGACAGTAGAATAAAGCATGAGCGCTACAGCCGTGTCTGGTAGCATCAGTTGCACAGTCACGCAATAGGGTAGGATCCATGACTGCAGAGGACAGAAAGCGAAAAGTGGTCCCATCCAAGCACGGGCTCATCTCTAGAGCCATCCTTAGAAGTTCCTTAGACAGATGACCGTACCAAAGTGCAGCTTTAGCCACAGTCAGATGCGGAACCTCTACATGACCATCGAGCACACACTCAATGTGACAAGATCACATGCAAGGTTTTTGGCATGAACCGTCAAGCAGTTCCTGTATCCGGTACAGGACA